CCACTCCCAACAGAAATACTCCAGGTGGACACCTTCAGCAATCAGGAGCTCCTCAGTTGCTCATAGAAAGTCCCACCTTGGAGTTTACAAAGACTTATGGGTAGAAAAGCCACACTAAATAATTTACTACGCCACACTTATGCACCCTCTCCTTACTTATTAACTATCTTCCTATCCAGCATTTCACATTTTCAACAGTAGTAAAAAATCTACCTGATTAAGTTTTGCATTAATGACATACGTCTGGCAGCAATGAATACTGAGCTGAGAGCAACACTGGCTGTGATGCTTAAGGCTCTGTTTCACTTGGCTGGGACAGGATTCTCAGTGGTTGGACAGTTGTGTAATGGTGTAGTCTTCCTCCATTTTGGAATCTGATATGATCATCCACCATTTTCACACAATAACTTGCTCTTTGGAACCTAACTATGTCAACAAGTGAAGAGAGGGTGTATTTCTATTTCTTGATCTATCAACTTTAACCTTTTCTATTTTCAGTCTTTCTGGTAGTTATTACTTAAGTTTAAATTATATATATAAACCAAAAAACCAAACTCACTGCCATGAGTGGGATCTGACTCTTAGCGACCCCTCCTTGAGTTTCCAGGGTAGTATCACTACAGAAGTAGATTGCCCAGTCTTCCTTCTGAGGAGTGGCTGGTGGGTTTGAACTGTCAGCCTTCTGGTTAGCACTCAAGTGCCTTAGGCACTACACCACCAGAGCTCCTAAAAACAATCAAAGTCACTGCCGTGGAGGATCCAACTCATTGTGACTCCTCCCTGGGTTTCTGAGGCAGTACCTCTACGGAACTAGTTTGCCCATTCTTCCTTCTGAGGAGTGGCTGGTGGGTTTGAACCCTTAGCTTTCTGGTTAGCGGTCAAGGTCAAATGCCTTAGGCACTGTGCTCCCAGAGCCCTTCAAATCTTTATATATATATTGATGTAAAGAGTTGTTTTTAGGTACCATTGAGTCAGTCCCTACTCTTGGTGACCCTTTGTACAACAGACTCAGTCTCGTGCCATGCTCACAGCTGTTGTTGTGCTTGAGCCCATTGCTGTAGACAGTGTGTCATTCCATCTTGTTAGGGTCTTCCTCTTTTAGGCTGACCTTCCACTTTACCAAGCATGATGTCCTTCTCCAGCGACAGGTTCCTCCTAACAGCATGCCCCAAATACATGAGGTGGAGTCTTGTAATCCTTGCTTCTGTACTTCTTCCAAGACAGATTTGCTTGTCCTTCTGGCAGTCCATGGTATATTTTATTCTTTCCCAGCACCTAATTCAAAGGCATCAATCCTTTTATGGTCTTCCTTACTTAGTATGTACCTCAAACCAAACTAAACCCATTGGTGTCAAGTTGATTCCATATGTAGTCTTTCTTAGATGCTATTTTTTGACACTTGGTATGAAATATGAGAAATTTAGCTGACATTCATGACCTTTGTTCTCCCTTTGGATTTTATATTATTATTTTAAAGCAGGATTCTCTG